TTTAAGACAGGATTATATTTTGCCATTAATTTAATAATAAAGAAACAATAGCCACAGTTCATTTGGCCTATTATGTCCTCTGAATGATATGCTGTTCATGGCCAAAGTAAGTCTGACTTTGATCATACTGTCAAGTACTTGCCCCCCACCCACCCACCCCCAAATTATATTTTTCAAAATCCTTGCCGATTGTTCCACTGATTATAAACTACACATGTAGTGGTACAAAAGACAACTCAAGTTATTTGTGTTCCATGTGCAATCTGCGTGTCTCACAATAGGGAACATGTTGCTGTAGAGCTTGGCTCCAGCACCTCTGGTAACTTCCACGAGTTGGATAGCTCTACGTCCATCGCCACAAATCTTATGATGCAGTCATACCAAGGGGGAATAAAATCATTCACGTGAGTGAATTGTATGTAAAGTAAATCCAAAGACACCATCAATTAAGTGAGTCACTGGTGCAAATTAAGTGGGTAAACACAAAACATTTGCATGTCAAAATTTGCAATAATTAAGCAAGTAATGATTTTATTTGTGCTTGGTGTGAATGTAACATTCACTCTCCATAAAAGGTTGGCATTAGCAGTAGTTGGTGTGTGGTCCTCACTGGTATTGCTGCTTAATTCAGTCATCTCCCCCTCTTCTTTCTATTTGGCAGCTTCCTTTTTTCTTTTTTAATTTCCTCTTTCAAATTTATTTTTTGAAAGCTACTTCTGTTCTATTATGTGCATGCCAGTAATTTGTGTAACCCAGCAATCCACACGCAGGCTCATTTTCACATTTTGAACTTCAAGTTGTGGTGTTAGATGTGTTAGTCCCTTAGCTTGTGATCTCATAGACATGGAAGCCAGTGGCAAAGCTTTAACCCAACTTAGCCTATAGTCACTATCTGCCCTGATTTCCGCTGATTTGGCCTTGGAGTGCCTTTGGTGCATTCAGTTATGCCTTGTGTCATTAGATGATGGATACAGCTAAACTTCAGTGTAATCCCCCCAAAATCTGTTATGCTGCCTTAAGTAGATTGGCAACAGAGGCAGGTCCACTGTCTAAACTGATGTCATCTGGAAACCAAATTTCAGGAAGGCAGTGCACAAAATTGTGGCTGTTGATTTGATATCTGAGCCTTTACTCATCTACTAAACTTGTCAATTAACCCCCAATTTCTAAAAACCCTCTTCAGCATTGCACCAAGTTCAAGGGACTCACCCTTTTGCCACTAGAAAAGTTACATGAGGGGTAGAGCTGGGGTTTAGAGATTATTGTTGCTGTTCAGGTGGGGAGTGTTTAAAATGCTGTAACTGTATGACTGTATTTCTTGAGTCTTTAAATAATAGAGTCTGTTATTGATAAATTCTCACCAGCATTCATCAAGTCCAATGTGGTTGGTGTTCGTCATACATTAGGGTGCAATGCAGGGGTAGCTGTGGCTCTACTTTGGCAATGTAAATTAAGTGGTACAAATAGTACAAACTTATTAGACTACTCCCAAATTGATCATTTGTATTACTCCCCTCAAATGCTTATTCGTGAGAGTAAAAAAAAAAACTGAACTCAAGCGAAAGTTCACTCTGCCATAACCAATCAGCATGAAGATACTCTGGTGACGTATGCCAACAACAGACTGGCAGAGATTCATTCATGTAACAAAAAGTAGGATTAACATATCATGGTGGTATGAGACCACCTGAGCTGTAGGATAAATCTTGTCCTTTGATGCAGAGATAGGAGTTAAAAAGAGCTCAGCTGGAGGAAAGTGAGTGAGGAAGTCTGATTATCCGGTAAGTTGTATAAACACAACAGATCCTCACAATGTGGTCAACCTCTGCTTTGTTTGACAGAAACCGACTGACCTGACATGTATTAACCCCTCCTCTTGTTCTCTCCTCTCCTGCAATCACAGTTGTGTCTTGGCATCTGTGAACTGGGTGAGTACATGATTATCTGTCCTTGGTGTGAACACAACATAAGGAGCTACAGCGAGAGACTACTGACTCTCTCTGCTCTCTCACACACCCCAGAGTCACTCACAGCTTGAAGAACATAAAACCAGCAAAGTTGAGATGCTCCCTCACTTACTTTCTTCCTCTTTTATACCTCTTGTTTATCCTATACTCTTCACATCTCATCTTTTTTCCCTGCCTAGTCTCTTGAGTTTTTTTTTAGTTCTTTCATCTCCATCTCTTGTTAGTTCAAGCTCTTTGATTTTTCTTTCACAACATCCTTGGTTCAAGTTTTGAAACCTTAACTACTTTTGCTAAGTGCTTTTTGAAATCGTTTCGATTGGCCATCAAGCTTTGTCTTCTTAGTTATCTGCGTTATTTCTAAGTTGCCTCTGAATGCCACACAGTCATCCTCTGAGCCAGAGTTTTGCAGTGAGACCAAAGAAGCATCGCAAGGATACTAAAGGCACTGGTTCTGCATTCAGACCTACATATGTGCTGTGACTCCTGGCCCATCTTTTGGCTATTCAAGTAATCCCAAATTCAGCCAAATCCACATCCAAGTTTATCTCTACAGTTAATGTAGATTAATATGTTAGAGCATATTCTCTTACTATAATTAAATTCAATTGTCAGAGCCTAATTCAGATTCTTTTATCTATCATTATTTATCCCTATTTTCATTATTTATTGCATTTATGTTGTAACATTATTCGTCCCATAATGAACGGATCAATTGTTTTTCTGAGCTCTTATCTGTTAGTGTTCTTCCAGATGTGGAGTCCCTGTGAATGTCCCTGTGAATACTTTACATGGGGCCCACCCCTGGTCTGGTTGAGATTTCTGCAACAATTTCATAAAGTATACACCTGGATTAACTGACATAACATCATCTCCTACAGCTAAAGCTAACATCAGCTAGCACCATCTCTTTCTATAGTCTGTGGCTACTCATCTACAGGGAGCTAGGGAATGACCGCAACTTGGGGCATTATGATAATACATGTTTCCACGGAACAGTCTGCCTCCAACAGTGTGTGAGGTGACACCATAGACTGTATACAGAATGGGCGTCATCTCCCATGCCTCCTCGCTGGATGAAGCCTCTATGAGTACAGCATCCCTGGTGACTGGTTGCAGTATAGGTCTTAAACTCCACCTCCTTCAGCAAAATGAATGATGCTGTGGACAAACTTTGAAAATCAAGAACCAGTCATATACATACTTTTTTGCCCCTGGTTACAATGTTGACATTTAGTTATTGCTAGACTGATTTGTGCTCAAGTCCTCTTTTTTCTGTGCATTTCCATTTTTTAAAGTTATAAGGGATTATAAAAACGGGAAATTATGTCATATTTTTTGTGATTGTGGAGATAGTTGGGCCTTATAGGGATATTTTGGTGTAAAATTAAGTTAGGGTCAAACACACTGTAACACCGAGTAAGACAACCCCCTCCAGAGCTGAATGTTTCCGACCACTCTGCTTCTCGAGTTGTACCAACTTTAGTAACGACCGCAGATAGCATTACGGACTGCTGAAGGGTGACCCAGCTTAAGAAAGAACATTTATGATCATTTTCTCATGGAAATGCGATCAGACCGAGACGCCTAGGCAGAAGAACTAGCACGACTGCAGTTCAAAATGATTAATATGGTGATTATTACTTCAAGGAAATGATAAAGTAATGATCATAGACTGTATATACCATGGACAACTTGGTTGCGCCTACCGCCTGTATACGGATTTGAAGCCAAAAAGCTCTTGGTATTTGCAGGATTTTTCTTCATTTCCTGAAACCAGCGCTGCACAGTAGCGATGTGCGCATTCGCGCAGTTGCCAAGAGTCGCTGTGATGACGCTTGGCTCAAACAGTGTATCCCCCAGGAGAGCGATGCGATCCCTGAATGCCCATAGGTTGTATCAGGTGTCAAATAAAGAAAACATAAACTCCCTAATAACTTTTAAGAACCGAGCTATACAGAAAAAAGAGGAATTGAGCATAAACCAGTCTTACTGTAACTACATGTCAACATCACAAGCAGGGGGAAAAAAAATTATGTTCTGTGTAATAAATTTCTAAAGTTTGTCCACAGCTCCATAAGCTTTGCTGGCGGAGGCGGGATTTATGACCTATACTGCAGCCCATCAACAGAGTGTGCTGTTCTCGGAGTGGGTTCACCCAGCGAGGAGGCAGACTCTGTCCATTCTATATACAGTCTATGGTAATGATCATAAATGTTCTTCCTTGAGCTGCGTCACCCCACACCAGTCGATGGACTCGCCCAGAGGTCTCCGTACAAACAAGCAGCTGGTGGAAGAGAGTGGGTTGCTAAAGAAATCGGGCAAAGCTCAAAAGATGTTTGGTGGCTAGCGTTGTGGCTGGGACCCTATATGTTCTGTTGATGAAGTTAGGTGCTGTTCTGAGCATTATTTGTGGCTATAGAGTGACTTTTTGGTTGAGCGCGTGGCTCTCCGTATTGCTATCTGCGGTCGTTACTAAATTTGGTATTACTAGAGGCGCAAGCGGTCGGAAACATTCATCTCGGGTGGAGGTGTCTAACTTGGTGTTAGCTACGGTGTGTTTGACCCTATCTTGATTTTACGCCAGGATATCACTTTAAAGAGACAGCAGCCAAAATGTGTCTTAGATGGAGGCTGAAATAATTGCATTTTAATACACTGGAGTAAGAAACACAATTTTTTTTTGTTTGTTTGTTTTTAAATCTGAAAATAATGTTAAACTATTAAAAATGTATCAGAGAGAAAGTAGCCTATAGAGTCTGAAATAATGCATAATACCCCCTTCTTTAGTGTGGGCATGATTGTCACTAGTTTTCAAAAATGCAGGACTTCCTGTTGACATCCGGTCACTTCCACGAGCCTATTTAAAGTCTCTATGCTCACGCAAAAAAAAAAAAAAAAAAAAAAAAAAATGAATAGTTACAATTAGCCTAGCAAGGACCGTCGGTTGTCACGTGAATTTCTTGCAGCGCCACCTCGCCGCAGATCTAACTTGTGATTCGCTCACAGCACGGAAGTGTCTGTTCGACCAATCACAGCATCGCTTGCTTGTCAATGGACTGTATCAACATGGCAGTTTTCTGAGTTTGGGAAGAGGGAACCTAGAGTTAATAAACAGAATTTTCGGTTCGTCACGAAGCGAAAACGTTTAGCTGTTTGTGTCCACAGCTGGTTGGACCGTAGAGGAAAGATGTCCAGTGAGGGAAACAAAAAGCAGTTTTGGAAAAGAAACGCCGCGAAGGTTCCCGGCAGGTGAGTGACGTGTTACCTGCTGTCGGCTAGCTTAGCGGAACTAGCCTTACTCCTTAAACGCTGCTCTGTCGGACAAGACCTCCACTTTTAGCTTTACTGACGAGCTTTTAATGACTGCAGACTTTCTGTCTTTTTCTCTGTAAACTGCTCGTGTGTGTGGTGAGCGTCTCTGTCCGAGTAGACACGGCTTACTCTCTCCTTCTGTTAGCCAGGCTGCTTTGGTGTTAGCGGCTAACAGATGAGACCACAACAACAACAACAACAACACAATCTGAGGAGTTTGTTGGTTTTTACTCTCCAAACACACACATGTCGATGAATTAGGAGCCCGGCAGTAGCTCCAAGTGGTTTTGTTTTCCCACGGTTCAAGTGCTGTGATACAAACTGGTATCATCTGTCGTAGAGAAGTTGCTAGCCTACCTAGCTGCAGAGACAGTTTGATTATGAGCTTCATCTTGGTTTTTCCTCTTCCTCTTCTCCAGCATACAGCATGTTTACGGAGCACAACATCCACCTTTCGACCCTCTTCTTCATGCTAAGTGAGTACAGTGTGCCTTTCCTTCAGAAATCATATCTGAGCCTGTTTGTGGTGCTGGACAAATCTGATCTGATGGTGTTTTTTCTGATCTAGTTTTCATGCTGACCCTCTGTTCTCCTGTTGTTGAGCTTTAAAGTCTAAAGTTGATATTCATTCAGCATTTCATCGATAGCTCCTTTTTGCTCAGACTACCAAAAGTGATCGACAACTTATTACATTTATAGTTACATCCCAACTAGTAGCTTGTAAATGTTTGTGGATGATGAAGACATCGAGCTTTTATTCAGTAATTAATTTTGATTTGTCTTTTTAAATGTTTGCTCAGACATTCAGAATCGCCTTTTACCTGTAAGATATTATTTAAATAAGAAAATGTTGCTAATGTCTTGGATGTAGGAATTGTTGGATCTTGTTACCCTCCATTCCCCTACTCCTCCTACTCCCTTTCTCCACAGTGCACCATACAGTACAGTTGTCTTATTTGATGTACCTATTCAGGCTTAATCACAAGGTACCATCTCATTTAAACATGCATTCGTCATGAGACAATTACATGTATGAGTGTGAATGCACCAAAGACAGTCATTGGGATTTGATTGTTCAGACCTTGTACAGAAGTGCTGTGTATCTGCATCGTCCCCTCTGCCCTACTGCAGAAGTGCCAAGTCCCTCCAGCATGACAAATGTATAAGACTGAGAAACAGACTATATATGTGTTGTAATTTCCAGATTTCTTTTAAATTTGTTGTACAATATATCATTGGTAATCATAGAAATGTTATGTTCCTTCATCATCTGTATCACTCTTTAAACTCCCATAAACAAGCTCCAGCCCTCAAGATGAGGTAACAAGTGCAATATTACCAACGTTACTGCTGCTGTGTTGATTTTTATCTCCTCCACATATATATTTTAATTTTGGATAATTCTCTTGAGTATTTATCTTTCTATTTTATTCTTATACATACATTTTATTTAACTGTTCTGTAGAATTCTTGTCTTGTGTATCTATATAGTACCTTCTTTTTTACAACTATTTGTACTTTTACTACCTATTTTTTTTTTTTATTTGTCTATTGCACTGGAAAAGGAGAAGGTCTCCAATCTCGTACTTTTAGTATGATGACAATAAAGGACATTCTGATTCTGATTCTTCTGATTCTAAGCATATAAAAACATATTTTATTCTTTTAAAGTGCAGTGTACACAACAATATGGAAGGTGTAGTATCAACTTAGTTAGGAACAGTGCATTTTTGTTTTCAATCATATGCAGACTGATCCCATCCATATACTAGAAAAGAGTGTGCAAATGGAAAAGGGGAGGATGTGATCCCTTAGTGATTAATCATGAGTAAGTAGTGTGGGACTAAAAAGAGAGGTCCCTTTTTATAGGGGAATTTTTGCAACCCTGTTTCCTTCTCTTTCTTTAACATCCTGCCCCATTCCTCCTTAGAATTACTTTGACCTCATCCACTTTCTTCTGTCTGTTTTATTTTAATGTCTTTGTGTTTTCCCTCAAGTTTGATTAAAGCAGGGAACAAGCCTCCTCCAGCTACACCAAACAAACCCAAGAAAGCTACCACCTTCCAGGAGTTTGAGAGCATTACGAGTGATGCATGGGACGTTGGGGACGATGATGATGAGTTGCTGGCCATGGCTGCACAGAACCTTAATATCAAGGTGGTCATGGAAACTGCTAATCAGGTAAACAACCAGATGCTGTGATCTATCATATAACATTCACATTTCTCAGTTCCTAAGTGACAAGAGCTCCACACTCTATCAAATCATATTTTATATTTCACACCGACTCACTCCATCAACCTCAGCAGCTAACTCACAAAATCTACAATTGCTCCAGACCATGAGTAGAGTTTGTGTAAGTGAAGAATGCAGTGAAATGTTGTTCGTTATTATCAGAAATCACTATTTGAATTCACATCCTGATCTGCTATTTTTACCTTAAACTGATTCCTATGAAACACGTAATTCAATCGTGATCAAAAAATTTGATACATAACACATTAAGCAAAATTATTTAAGAAATAAGCAGAGTTAAGATAGGGTCAGATAGGGTTAAAAATACAGAATTGGTTGTTTTGTACATCTGTTACGTGTCAAATTAACATTAAATCAAATAACATTATTATTAAAATATTGATTACTTAGCTCTGTGACCTGGTGGGGCACACAGCAGCTCAAATGGGACTGGTTTGGATCATGGAGCTGTGAGAGATGGCTGGTCCATTAGTAAGACTATGACCTGTTTACATCCTCACATGTTTTTGGAGCCCTCAGGCGAAAGATGAAGAAAAAAAGCCTTGTGCAGATTCGTGCATATGCAGTCACATGGATTGTTATACACACTTACAGATTTGCATGTAATTATTTTTATTTATCGTGGCACCTCAGGGATCTACACATGTATTAACAAGAGTGTAACCAATCCATAGGAGACAGGGTTACCCTCTGAAGCTGAGGCTTTAGACTCCTTTGACCCTCCACACACACAGCAGGAGCCGCCTTTATGAAACCCAATACAGACTGCTATTAGGGATGTTATACATGCTCAGACTGTTGTAGCACCAACAGTGATTTGAACGAGAGTGTCACTCCACCACTCACAGGAGAAAATGAAATGTCAGTTTTTGGGAAAGTGATGGCTGCACAGCCTTGATGGAAGATTGCAGTCTGGTAGGCCCAATTCATGCAAGCGCTGGAGCAAAATTGTCGTGTTACGTCTGGAGGTGCTGCAGCAGCTGCGTACTTGACACTGCTGACTCATATTGAACTGAAGCAAACAAACAGCAAAACTAACTGATGCAAAGTCAAACAACAGTTTCCAGGAAACTATTAACTGAATAATCCACCCTAACAGAACAATCCAACTATTAAATCACTAGAATTACTGTTATCAATCTGCTGTACTCTCTCATACCGTCAGAGTCCTCCTGGTTTGTTGAGTTGGATGATGTAAGTCTTATAGAGTCACTGACGGATGAACTGCCTTAAGGTTTTTCATGTTGTTATACAATTATATACACAGGTTGCATAGGTGAACATTTTTACAGATTGAATTTAAATCAGTCAGATTTCATTTAAACTCCTCTTACAGCTCATCAACGACCCTGTTTGTGCTTGTTTGAGCAGGTGATTGAAAATCACAGCAAGCAGCAGGAGAGACAGAGACTGGATGACACAACAGAGCTGGAACACAGAGAAGAGGACACTCAGGAAGAAGTTGTGGCTGAGGAGGAAGAGGAGGCTGAGTTGGAAGAGGAGGAGGAGGATGAGGAAGAAGAGGAAGGAAATAGACTGGAGGAAGGATATGTAACCAGTCCAGAGGGGCCGTTCGCCTCCCAGATCGGCCCCTGCACTGATAGTCTCCTGGTGAAGTCCCACAGTGAAGCTCCCATTGGGTCACCTAGAGGTTAGTGAATACCACTGCTCAGTTTTCAAATAGTTTTCTTGCTTCCTTGTGTACAAAATACTTCAGTGTTGTTGTGTATTTTCTGTGACAGACAGTTTCACAAAATACTTTGAATGACACAGTTGAAGCCCTCAGTAGATGACAGAAAGCTTTTCCATGGACCAATCACCTGTCCATAAATTTAATCTGTGTCTACATAATAATTAGGTTTTAATCAGGTCTTAAGGACCCACAAGATAAAGTAATGTTTATTTTCCATTGCTTTCCTCTTAGCATTATGACTGTTGCATTTTAATTTATTAATCAAGGGTCCGTGCTTGGACAGACCCTTTCAGGGTTCGTGTTTGTTATTGTTTGCTTTAGACCAGGACCAAAATGCTTTTGTTTTTGTTAAAACCTGCACATGAAAATTTAGGGTTACTTTTAGAAGGGTTTCCCTTAGGGTAAGAGAAAGTGATATTTCATCTTTCATCATCAAAAAGGGACTTGTTGTAATGGGACGAGGGTTCTTAAAACAGTCCAAATGTTGATGTTCTGGTAATATGCTCCTTCTACGTGGTGAGATTTGATTAGGCTATGAATAATGACATTATCATCATTCAACCACAGTATCATATAAATGCTGACAAAAGAAATCCATAACAGTGTATTTCAGACAGCACATTGTTGACCATCACAATCCCTAAATGCATAATACAGCATTGTAACCAAAGGCTTCAACAGCACCTTCTGTTGACGGGCTGCAGTAAAGGTCATAAATCCCACCTCCTCCAGCTGTCCTTATGGAGCTGTGGACAAACTGTAGAAATTTATTTCACAGAATATACATTTTTCTCCCCCCTGTTGCAATATTGACATGTAGTTATTGTAAGACTGGTTTGTGCTCACGTCCTTTTTTTTTCTGTGCAGCTCCATTTTTAAAAGTTATTAGGGGGTTTGTGTTTTCTATGATTGACACTTGATACAACCAATGGGCATACGAAGATTGTGCAGCTCTCCGGGGGGTATGTTGTTTGAGCCGAGTGTCATCACTGGGACTCTCCTGCCTAATGCGTACATTGCTACTGTGCAAGTAGTGGATTGCGTGATGTTGGTCGGAAATACCGAAGGCTTTTCGGCTTCAAATCTGTATACTGACGAAAAGCCGGAACCAAGTTGTCCATAGTATATATAGTCTATGATTGTGACAGATTAATACATAACTTTCTGCTGATAATAAAAGTCAGAGACAGGGTTACACACCATTGTTGAAAATAAAATCATAATTGCATGAAACAAAACATTTTGGCGATAATGAAGCCATGAAAGCAGAAGTCTGCCTTTTTTTCTCTGTCAGGTTTTCCTTCCTCTTTAAGAGTTTAAGTTTTCAGTGGAGCAACAATGAACTTCACTCTGAGCAATTTTGAACACTCCTGCTGCACAGTGGATTTGAGGTTTGGCTCTGCTCTGCAAACAAAGATCCAAAAGCAGTGAAATAAATGTGATGAATATGTGCTCTTACTGCTAACCAAGTGATCACCCACTCAATGACAGCAGATGTGCCCCTGGCATTTACTTTTACTCCTCAAGGTCGAGGAGCACTGCACTCTACCTTAGTAATGGGGTCTCCTGAGGTGCACATGGGGACTGACATCAGCAGATCTTCCTCTCCTTCTGTTGTTGTTTTATGTTATTTAGGTGGCTATTGTTGTATTGTTGTAAGTTACACACCAAAAAATGTTTAAACTCCTGACGGAGGAGGTGCATACAGGCCCGATTTTTAACGATTTCACTTGAACCACCACCAAAGTCAAAAACATGTCATATAGGACAGCGAGGTTAGAGTGACAAAATCAATCAAATATTTTTTGCTTTCTTTCTAGGAGTTGTAACTGATGAAAAATACTTATTGAAGCAAATTATCAATTATCGATTCCTGTAAATATTGTTGTCATTAAACTTAAGAATATATATGTGCACACAGTTATGATGACATGGTTTGAAAGCCATTCTCAAGTTGAATCTTTTTATAGGAAGAGGACAAGAGAGAGTCTGAAGATGCTGTCAGAGACGGTCTGCTGCCTGTAAGATCCTCCAGCAAGTCTGGTTTGGCAGTGGGTCAGTGATGGCCTGTCTTTAGAGCGCGGCACAGATTTCTATATGCTACTCATAAGCACCCTGGCTGGTGTTGTGTACCAGGATGAGATCCTCAGACCATATGGTGGTGGTGCAGTGGGCCAGAGGTTCCTTCTGGTGCATGACTGTGCCCAGTTTCATGTGGATGGAGAGTGTCAACAGTTCCTCGATAGAATAGAATAGAATAGAATAGAATAGAATAAATTTTTATTGTCCACCGAGGTGGAAAATAGTCTTTGGCACACCAGCACAGGAGACAGAAAGCACTAAAATACTAACATTGTCATACATAAAGACATATAATGGACACAATTAATACAACAGAGGCAAAATTGGATCTAGTAAAGTAAGTAAATATAGAGGTAGAGCAGTTCAGGTCATATGAGGGGATTAGTCACTTTGTCGGATTCAAAATGGCAATGGCTTTTGGCATAATGGATTTTTTTTGAAGGACTTTTTTAGAGGAGCTGATGATGAGTTTGTTCTTAAAAAGTTACATCATCTCATCAATAAATATTTCAACAGGAACATTTTCATTCATCTAGATCTAGGATGTGTGATTTAAGTGTTTTCATTATTTTCTTGAATAGTTTCCTAAACTAGCAGGAAGAGCTGAGTTAAATTTGACTCATTTCTTCTTTGTTGGAAAGGAAAGTTTGGAAAGCACACTTTCTAATCTACAAACCTCCAGAAACAAACCAGAACATTAACAGCACACTGTTGAGACCTAATAAAATCCTGGTTTGAGTGTGTGTGCTCATTTGAACCATTTAAGTCACTTTCACTCGTAGCCTTATAAGTTTCATAATCAGCATAGGAAGATAACACGCCCATTAGATCTTGTGCGTATGTCTGTTAAACCCTTTACTTTGTCTGATTGTCCTTGCTTCTCCACAGATGCAGCAGGAGAGCACGCAGCCCTTTACAGACAACAATCTTTGCCCCACCGGCCGCCTGTCATCCCACTTGTCGCTCGCATGGCTGATCAGAACACATCTGGCACCCCAGCCTTAACTGAGAGGGAAGCATCCCGTTTGGATAAGTTCAAACAGTTGTTGGCTGGGCCCAACACGGATCTGGGTGAGGGATACTCGTCTGAGAGTTTGTAGTTATCAGTGTTTAAATGCAGACAATTTCCCTCTTAACATTTCCACTATAACTTAATTATCCTTTTGCTTCTTTGCATCCTGAGCTTGAGCCCTCTGTCAGCCAGCTGCGCTGCTCTTTTAACGGTGTTGAGTGTTGGCAAGTCATCCAGCCATCTGGGTGTGCAGATTACTTGGGAAAGAATTACACCAACAACAAAAACAAATGACTTGCCTTGTTGTAATCAAATGACAGAACTTTAATCATCTGAATGGCCACAGTACTACAGAGTGATTTTTGGTGAAAAACATGCATCCTGTCTTGAACGGCAGAAGCTGGCATGGAACAGAAAGTTATTTTTACGAGTCATCTTTTTGAAAAAGGACTGTACAGACCAGAAAAATGAGGAAAAGATGTCAAGACATTTTAAGGATAAATTGATGTTTGTGGAGGAAAAATTTTGGTTTCAAGATCAATTTTTCAGTGAATTTTGGTCCAAAAATTGTTGTTTACTCTTTGCTGAAGATTCCATCCCATAGACTTCGATGTAGAATTTCAGAAAAGGCTAAAAATTGCACGGTTCGCCTTAAGCGGCTCCTTTTCTGTATGTCAATTCCTGCTCTTTCTCCGTGTTTTCTGTCCACTAACCTGTACTCTCCTGCTTCCTCCGACAAGCTGTAGATTTTACGATATCCTTGCATGTTTTGTTAAGTGGCTGGCTCAAGTTTTTTTCTGAATTCTCAGCTCTTACAACATTAGGGTTAAATGAACGTCACAGACTTGCTCTCTGTTATCTTCCAGGTTCTTAGCTGTGATAACTTAAAGCAGATACTTACTTTTCATAGTAATACTATTGACCGTGTATGAAACTCCCCTTTTTTGTTGTAATGCATTACCTTTAACATGTCAAATCTATAGTTTGTTTGGCCTATTTCTGTCATGACTGGCAACTTTGAATTCTGAACTTTGGGGACCTGCAGGTTTATCCTGCCGTCATGTAGTCTGCCAGATTGGAAGTCCAAAAAATGTCAATGTTTTATATAAAAATTTGATGCTGGTCACACCTTGGAAAACAGTTGAAGCAATGGCAGACCAATTAAGCACTAGGAGTCTTCTACTGTGGTTCCATGCAGTTTTAGTATGTGTAAAAGGTAGTGTGGCATCTTCTCCCCATGTTATGCAGGGTCCTCCCTGAAACAGGCATTGTCTGGATGGCATCATATGTTGCTCCAAATATATCTCATCTCTTTCAGCATAAATGGTACCTCTTACCTAACTAGCCACAGGCACTTCTGCATCCCAATACCAATAGGGATTCTGGTCTTTGAACAGTGAGCTGATGAGACAAGCTGTGCGATCTATCCTGTCTAGAAAGGGGTGGATGTGAAGATTTATCCGTCTTATTTGGAATTTTAAGTCCCCAGGGAAGTTTTACACCCTGAGGTATGAATAAAATAGCACGATCTGGCTGTAATTTTTCCCTGGGCCACAACTCATTTAAAATGGACCTTTTGAATGGTTCAGTTTCAATCTCAATTTGTGGACGCAGTAACAAACTGTGTTCAGAGACATTGGTTTTAGAATGGGATTTTGAGCTCACACAGTGATTTCCAACAATAACGTGTGTTTTTGACGCAGTGCCACCTGAGGGCTTGAGGACCACAGCCGTCTAGTATCAGTTACTGGCTTTGTCTTTTTTTTTTTTTTTTTTTATTCTTCAGACCCTTCAAGCTTTTTTCTGATCTTATGTCGCAGAATTGATGGTAAAATTTCATATTCAGGAACATATTCTGGAATTGCTGAACTGTTTCCTCATTCAGTCGCTCACGTAGTTGTGAACCCCATCACTCCTTCTGACAGACCCAATCTCTCTGAAGTGCCCTTTTTATACCCAGTCCTGTTACTAACCTGTTGCATATTAATGTAGGTCATTTGGAGAGGTTCCCCCCAGGTGTTGAAGGTTTCACATATTTTTCAGTTTTTTTGTTGACCTTGCCCCCAACTGTTTTTAAATGGGTTGCCGGGATCAAAATTAAAATGAGCATGTGTTCTTCAGAAAACAATTTAAAAACTCCTTCAGGAGACAAAGAGATTGCTGCTGAAATGAGTAAAGCAGAAAACTTCTGTTTCTGGTATTCAATTATTTAACAACTGAAGAATGAGGAGAGCCTGAATGAGACTTCAATGAGTCCTTCTGTACTCTGAAGCTAATACAGAAATGTCTGTTTTCATAGAAATCAAATCAAGTACAGTTATGTAGTATTCAAATACAGATCATTACTGCTTTGGCACAGTGGTAGAGTTCTTAGTCTCTCAACCAGGGGTGCAATCCCACCAGTGGCGATTGCTCTAAGACTGCAAGGGAAGCTCAGCTTCCCTTAAAATGTCACCCCCCCAAAAAAAAGAAAGTGGTGAAGTACGTACTGCTGTGTGTACATTTCATTAACTAAATACGCGCTAGAAAGCCTTCATCTTTTGTTCAGAATCAGCTTCTTATCACACTGTGATAAGAAGCTGATTCTACACAACTTCGTTCTCATTCATCCTCGCAGCGCCTCAGCGCTTCACACAGCCGGACGCTCAGCGTCTGCTGACTTCAATGTGGAAGCTCAAAGTGGGTTGTTCCAGCAGCGAAACTAGACGCTCATTGGATAAATGCTGGGCTTTGTCCCGCCCATCGGACGCTCAGCGTCTCTGGAGTTCTATGACGAGAGGGCGGTCCCAACTTTCTCGCGGACGCTGAGCTTCTGCATCCATGATTGGATGAGCTGTCTGAGGCGAAATCCTTTTTTGATTGACAGCTAAACAAGCGAATCAGCGATCTTGAAGAATAAAACATCTACCAGAGCATTTTCCAAGTTATTCATTCCGTTGTTCTTAACTGCTCCGGAGACTTTACCGATCCTCAGCGACTTTTGTCTTTGTTAAAAACGACTGCCGTTGTGTTTGGCGACTCTGTTCTGTTACATACAAATAAACAAACACAATTATGATGTAGGCCAGAAAAATGAGCTTCCCCTCCTTGAAAGACCAGCAGTCGCCACTGAATCCCATGTCTTGCTATCCCCTGAAACCGTAAACTGTCTGTGGTGCTGGGTGAAGAGGATGAGTTAATAATAATGATGGGTGCCTCAGATAGCAGCCTGTACCTGTTGTGTGTGTGGATGTGGTGTTAACATGTAAAAGAAACATGTCATTTTCAAAAGTGGTCAGAGAGTGGAAAAAAGCACTTTTTTAAATTCACTCCACTTACCATTTTACCAATTCCACCTCAAACTGTGTGGCATAAGAATTAATAAGGTTTTAGCAGAACTGTTGAGAGTTCCTCTCACATGAATTTGAGTTTTCTTTTAAGAAAGTTTCCAAAAATGTTTGATTTTGCTGTCAAGTATAAAATAAAAATTAAAAAAAGGAAATTGGAATCAGCCAGTTGAAAACTCAGAAATTAGAATTGGTCAGAAAAACTGCAATCAGTGCACCTCCTAGCAGTGTTAGTCTTTATTGAAATCAAGACATGACATTTCTTATTTTTGTACGACCTAGTGTACCGTCAAAACCCAACTGTCACGGTCTTGTCTTTTTGGATTGACTGAGAGAGCTTCTGTAGCAGAATCCTAAACCCCAGATTTGGCAGAGGTGTGGGCGACATTTGCATGTGTGTGTTTTGCCCCAGTGGTTGCACTCCATTTGAATGATGCCTGAATAGTGCATGGCTTCGGCCCGCCAAGTGTCCTCCCCAGGGCTCCTTTCAGCTTTCTGCTCAACCAGCACTGACTGACAGCACCTCCTCACTGTCTTCTATTCTTACCTTTATACAGAACCATGCACACGGGCAGGTAGAGTAACTGACAGGCAGACATGAAGAAAGTGCAAACACATACTGTCACATGCATACTTCATCACACATATATACACACACTCGCTCACTATATGATTTTTAATATTCTTCTCCAGCTCAGTGGCCTCGACAGGAACAATGGATATGTCAGCATAAAGAAAATATACTTCTGATTAAATAATACTGAGCTGATTTTTTTTTCTGTATCTGTATGTTCTCTGTTGATGTTAAGAGGATGGACAGGCCAACATGTACAGACAGATAAAGAGACTGTGAAGATGTAAAAACTTGAGCTACCTGTTTTCAAACGAGAGTGAATACAAGTACCAACTGAAAATAAGGAGAAACAGCCCCTGTTTCTTTACAATATTAAAAAAATCATTGTAGCCTGTAATAAAATAGTTGTGGAAAAATCAAAGTTTTTGCTCAGGTTTGTCCTGGTGGATTTAAATTTGGACTCTCATGTATTGTTGTTGTTGTTTTACAGAGGAGCTACGAAAACTCAGCTGGTCTGGAATCCCAAGACAAGTTCGACCGATAACATGGAAGCTCCTTTCAGTAAGTTTTCTGATCATACACTTTAACACTCATACTATACTGATCTGTGAAACACAATAACAGTCACTCAACACTTTTATATCAGTACATTCAAACAATATCTATAAGTGGTATATCAGTGTTTCCCATCTATCTATGATAGTGTGTGATTTAGGGGGTGGGGGTGGAGGGCTGTGTGTGTTGAGCAAAACTTGGGGGTGACTCAATATACTGCATATACTGATACATACTGAGGTAGCACCACGTAAGGTGTGTCGGCTTTTATTTAGCCGTGGCAGTGCGCCACCATCAATTACACATAGGGGGAAACCCAGTAGAGGACCCTAATAGAATTCAAACTTCCCTTTACTGTCTCATGTTCCTCTCTCCTATTCACCCCTGAGATTCACGCTCAAGTTATTTGTTGTTTATCTTTCTTTAGCGGGTATGATTGAACCACATTTTTGAAGGTAGAGCTTGGTAATCTCCAATGACCTGCATTCACCACTACATCCTAGAAACCATTCATTACCGTCTGCACTGTTATTAGTCAGTGTAGAAATTAAAAAAGTAGGTTGAAAAAAAGAAACCTGGATTAGAGGGATGAGGCAATTTTATGCCTCACTGGATAGCTCCTATGCTGTCTATTTGAGCAACAGGCACTATGGATCGCTTCAGGCCTCAAAATACGTCCACTTGGACTTCTACTTCGACAGTCTTGAGCAGGTCCACATTGTTCTGACTGTACTAGAAGATCAGCTGGTCCACCTCTGTCTGGATGCTGACTCATCACTGTCTCTGAGACCGATGACTGTGTGTCGTCTGCGAGCGTCAGGAGTCTGACAGACTGGGCCCCTGAGGTGCAGTCGCTGGTGTCCAGGGAGAAGAGCAGAAGGGAGAGAACACACCCCCTAGGGGGCGCCAGTGCTGATGGTCCAGATTCTGGATATGATGTTCCCCAGCCTCGCCTGCTATTGGTCAGGAATCGGTGATCTACTGACAGGTGGAGGCTGGCACAGTGAGCTGGGTCAGTCTGTGGTGGAGAAGCTCAGGAATGATGGTGAGCTGAAGCCCACCTCGAGCGGTTGGTCTCAAAGCTTACCAGGTGTTGAAATGTGTCGGATCAGAGCCGTGGTGTGTCACTTTGACCTTGAGTTTAGGACTTTTAGACGCCTGGTTACCTGTTCGTTTGGAGGCTTATTGGAGTTTGAAATTGCACAGTTAACATACTAATACAACATACACTTTATGCACAGACACACACACACTGCTTCTAACTCACTGATGTGTTATGGTTGAAGAGAAAGTGTGACAGTGTCATCTCCTCAGTGCCAAACGTAGTGGAAAGGAGCCATCTGGTGGATTATGACTAAAGCTGCAGCTCCACTGCCACTTTGTTAAAACAATACCAGTTTTTTTTTTTATTACTAATGCACATTTTTATGACTTTATAGCTGTAAGAACCAAAAGTATGGTTTAAAAACATAATCTTTTTAAAGCACTATGTAACAGCATTAAATTACACCCTGTATATTGACTTGACATTGGAGCTTGTTCTTATTTCACTTATTTTTGCCAAATTTCATGTCTTCAACGTGAAAACAGCCGAAAAAAGAGATGTGTCATGAACAGACTATCTCATCCCAGGTGATGGGGTTTGAATTTTTTTATTTCAGTGCTAAAAAAAAAGTTAAGATTATTAAACTAAACTCTGTTTTAAGTCAAATCAAAATACAAAGCTTTAGACATACGGTCCTTCTAAAACTGCCTCTTCCATCCACTTCCCCTGTTTGTCTGACTCATTGAGTGCCATCGAAAAACCTTTGAGGGCTGTTAGATGATAAACTGTTTTATTATTTCTAAGTTTATACGCTTACTCTAAGTTTAGTGGAGTTCATCTCGAGGCCTGCAGCTGCGCCTGATCCCTCCACCCTCCTGAGGGGAGCGTCATTCAGCTGCGGGGGTTACTTCAAACAGAGTGCACAACATATCAGAGCAGAGGTGGGGAGGGACCAGCTTGAGAAAGGGTCATAGACTCAACAGCTTTATGAAATATCTGCTGGACTGAGTTATGTGTCTTGTGTTTAATCTCAGTCTGCGGCAGATACTGTGTGTATTATCAATCTGTGCAGTGTTATTAAGTAGCTGCTTCAGTTCCAACTGGCTTGTCCAAACTTTTTTCTGATATTGTTTTAAACTCAGTCATACGTTTACCTTGGCACTAATCCAAAACATGCACTGGTTGGAGGAAGAGGAAAAATATTAAGAAATTTGGCTTGTTTTAATGACCTATAATTAACAAATGCCTTTTCTCCATTTCTTTGTCTCCCCCCCTTCTTCTCTCAGGGTTACCTACCAGCTAACGCAGAAAGAAGGGAGAGCGTCCTACAGAGGAAGAGAGAGGAATATTTTGGCTTTATCCAGCAATACTACGACTCCCGCAATGATGAACACCATCAGGACACATACAGACAGGTATACCCTATATTCTTATGCATTGATTTATTTATGCTGCTTGTTGCATTTTTGACATCCATCTGAACCCCAGAGGATGGAAGAAATGTAACCATTGTATTCCTGCAGCATAAAACCAAGACAAGGCAAGTCTGAGAGGGCTGCTGAAATGAAAACTATGATTTTATAAACAATATCGACTTCTCTCTCTCCCCTTCTTGCCCCTTTCGAACACTCCTTCATAAAACAAGCCCCATTTATCTCTAGCTGATAGGAAACATCAGAGAGGCTTGTTGATGGCCAGGTGTTACATTTCCATTTTTGATCGTCTCTTTTTCCCCACTGAACTCCTCTCTGTTAAAAGAGAACTGGCGTACATTGTCATGATGACCATTCCAGTATCCAATAGGTTTCACTCCCAAATTTGCTTCCTCCAAAACTTTACTGGTCAAGTGAGGAAAAATGTGTTCTCAATCAATCAATCAATCCTAATTTTTATAGCTCCAGTTTACTAAAAATGATTTCTCAAGACACTTAACATAAAAGACCTGGTCCAGACCAAACTCCTGATGATATTTACAAAGACCCGATGTGAAGATCAGATCAGATTAAGTCCCTCCTTGGAAGATCAGACCTGCTCTCATACCATCTTCAACCACAGGAGTAAAACACTGTACAGCGTTTATCAACTTACAGTGGAGAGGAAGAACTTTCTTTAACAGGCAGAAACCTCGAGCAGAACCAGACTCATGTTAGACAGTCATCTGCTGAGACTGAGCTGGGTTTAGACAGGGAGATGGAGAAAGAGAGATGGACAAAGACAAACAGCAATAGTACTGACAGATGTATGGTTACAGTGCCAGAGATAATGGAACAAGTTTGTGAACTATCTGTAAGAATAGCACAATAATAATAATAATAATACTAGACTGGTCTTATTGATAGTTTCATGTGTTTTGAATATTTCATAATTGTAAAGATGTTAGGTTTAGCCCTTAATATTCATGTGGAAGTGTATGATTGTCGAATATTACATTCATTTTTATGTAGAATCATATTATTCATGTTATCCACCTCTGTTCACTTAAGTGTTTATCCTGAGACCCTCTGAAATTCCATCCATCTCCTGTGTACATCTGTTAATGTTGGAAACACTACAAGCCTTTGAAATACTGCGACATTTTTTCATGAATGGAAAGCAGGTCAAAATATAACTTTGCTCCATTTAAGGCAGTCGGAAAATACACTGAGAGGCCTTGTAGCTTCTTGGTTGACACTGGCCGGAGCTCTGTGTTTGAATGAACTGATTTTATTGTGCTGTAAAATCTTTCACAACCACTAGAAGGCAGACATTTTCAGAAATACTTCTGTTATACAATGACATCAGCAGAGCCTGATGATGTTGGGCTTAAGTTTGTATAATTTTCTTCCATACTAAAATATAGTTGCATATAGGATAGGAGTAACACAAATAAACAAAAGATATTGGTCAGCAAACCAAAACAATGGACTGCTCTCTTGTAGGGTATGCAGTTCTCAGTATTTTTTAAATCGAGTCAGGTCAGTAGTTGAAGCATTTCCCCCCTCACCATTACATCAACATCAGAATACTACATATCAAATAACACATGAACTTCATTTAAGGTAACTATAGAAGAAATGGGCTGGCTGCTCTTACTGACACACAACCTTTTCACTTGAGTGTTATTTTTGAGATCTTCAGGACCAAAGACTTGGTTTTAATGCCGGGCATTAAGGACAAGGGCCCATGGAGACTCATATACAACGTCGCTTGTGTTCTTGTGTGTGTGTGGGCGCACATGTGTGTGTGTTAAACACCTTTTTCTTCCATGTTGCTGTCAGATTCACATAGACATTCCTAGGATGAATCCTGAGTTTTTGGTGCTGCAGCCAAAGGTGACACAGGTAAGGTTGACAGAGCAGACAGGACGGTGAATACAGTATTATTCCAGCACCGCCACTGATATCCAGTCCGTCCAAACCGACCTATTTTAGCTGGCTTTGCTCCAGTTGCTGTCTCGCATTTGTTCGGCTTTCTTCTGACCAATCTGCCTGCCAGTCATTTGTTTATCTGAGGGGGTAGACAATCTGAAATGGTGTAATTGTGGTCCAGCACAAGAGTACACTCTGCCAAGAAAGGCAATTTTAGTTGCACTTTAACAGGAAAGGAAACATACTGTGCACTCCTGACCACACCTGCTATCTATTTCAGAAAACCGTAAACCCCGATTTCCTTCATTGAGGAAACCAATCCACTAACTGTTGCTCTTTTCTGCCTTCGTCACCGCCTGTTTCTGCCAGATCTATGCTAACCTGCCCGTTGCTTCAGTGTTTGTCTTTTTTCTCTCTCTCCCTCTCTGCAGATTCACATTGACATACCGAGAACTAATCCCCTTATTCCTCTCTTTCAACAAGCTTCTGTCCAAGAGGTGAGACATCTCCTTTCTGCACACACACATACACAACCTCAGTCAGGTGGGTTTTCCCTCCTCCATTTGAGAAGAAATTGGTGGTAGCATAATCAGTGCCGCTGTTGTGATGGCGCATGTGAAGGATTAAGTGTCTTTAACAAAGGCTAAGGGCTCTTTTTAGCATCATTATGTTTTTATGCAGCAACAGGGTTGTTGTTGTGGTTACTGCAAAAATGAATTAGAGTAATATTAAGAAGCCAGCCAAAGAGCATAGTAGGCTACTGTCACGACCGCATGTGATCTCACAGTACCTGATGTTTCGATTAAAAACAATGGAGTGGCACCTCACCATCAATTTCATTTCTACGCTTTGACACAGGAATCACAGGACAATGAAGTTTTCAACCTACATCTATTTTATTTTCTGATGTTGTGGTAAAATTATTAAAATTACCACTATGATATTTGTGAGCACTAAGTGAATTCTGTTAGCACCTGTTTGGTTAGAGTTAAGAGGGTGTAATTATGCTGTCACATTTATTTCTGTTTGCTATACAAACACAATATAGTGGGTTTTCTTGCACATTACAAGCTCTGTGTGTTTTAAGTGTTTAAAACACACTCAATGTAACTACTGATGTGAAATATACATGTCAGCCTTTTCAGGATACACAGAAAGGAGGTCTTGTTACCCAATCCCCTTTGCATGCATCAGAACGCGGCTTACTTTTCTTCTTAATCTAAATAAAACGGAGAGGGTTTTAAAGTCTAGTTTTTAATAAATTTAACTGCCATGCTATATGGATCCTGTGGTGTTATTATATTTATGTAATACAGTGAACCAGAATGTGGAAAAAGAGACCGAAACGTGAACACAGGATCATGGCATGTCCTCCATACAATATATGTTTTCAAGATAACAGACACATGATTGGTTATCATCTCTTACATGCAACGATTGCGCCAACCTTGAAATTCAAATCAACATCTGTCTAGTGTTGCTGTGACACAATAACTGAGATTCATCTGCTTTGCACCAAACCAGCTTTGCATGCCTTAAACTGTTGCAAAATCTGCAACGCCCGTCTACAACCAACTCACCCTCTAAAAAATGCACTCTTACACTCTTACACCAGCCTACTGTTTAACCAGCATCATTTGTTATCACAATTAGTGCAGATGTCATTTTATTCTGCAGTTAGTGTTCACACTCTATGTCTTTGTGTGTTTGTTTGTGTGTGTAAGATTTTTGAACGCATCCTGTTTATCTGGGCCATCCGCCACCCAGCCAGTGGCTATGTGCAGGGCATCAATGACCTGGTCACGCCGTTCTTTGTCGTCTACGTCTTTGAGTATATTGGTGAGTGTTGTATTTCCTTATTTTTTCCTTTTCATTGTTTTTGCTTTTAGAGGGCAGTGTTTGATGTTTTCTTGATGCAAGGATAAGATCCCCTAGCTTTTGCAAAAACAAGCCCACTACTCAAGTAAACATGACTCTACTAATCCCACCGTCCTGCTGTTAAAGCTGTGTCAGTCTTGGTAAACGTCTATGAGTGGATGCTGAGGAGCACCAGGACACTATGGGGGTGCACCGGCTAGGGATGGACAATAAATTATCGTTCAAGATATATCATCAGAAAAATCCTCCATGATAAATATTTGCCATCTCATGATAAACATGATAAATGCAAGTTGGTGATGTAAGCAGCAGCGACAGACTCACAGCCATAGCCCACACAGATCAGAATAACAAACAAACATGCCCAAAAGTAATGAAGAAGACGTTTGTGACTGAACGAGGCTTCACATGTGGGATTTCCTTCAAGATGGGGGTTTAGATGAGCGCAATTAGGTTTGCCAGACATCGGACAGAGGATCTGCTGCTGCTGTTCAACCTGTGCAATAAGAGTTTTCAACAAATATTAATAATGTTTTCACATTTGAGACTTGTTTGATGTCATTAGTTTTCTCCATGACCTACAACTCAAACGTGTGGTGAAGTAGATTATTTGACTGTTCCAACTGGTGTCGAGACAAAATGAGTCAAGAATATAGATTGGAATTATAATACTTTCTTATCGGGACTTTTATTGCTATCACCAGAATGGCAATTCTTATCATGATAAATTTTTTACCCCATATCACCCATCCCTCGCACCAGCTACCACTAGCACTTATGACATTGAGAACACGACCACCTACACCACTATTTCACTGGCCATAGCGTCTTCAATACCTGCTACCTGCTGCTACAGTTTCATTCAGACTAAAGCTAAAATTTTTTAGTTTTGAACAACATGTGAACATACTGACTGGTACGGAAACTCAGAGAGAGAAACTGCCTGCAAAACTCAAAGCACCTTAAGCCATGTCAGCAGGTGAAGAATTTCTGCTTTGAGCCTTACATAAGAGAAATGATTAAAAAACATTATCACCAGAAAAACATTGCTAACAATTTGTCTCTCAGTCCAACGCAGATAACTTGTAGAATTGACTGTTTTTATGCTCTTCTCCCTGGGAAGTTTCCAGGTGGCCTGGCCCGCCAGCTCCTTGTTTTTTAAGTCTTGTGAACGCAGCATCACTAACTGCGGGTCTTCTTCACTCACACATGCGCGCGTACATCTACTCAAAAAGCAAGCTGCAAAAAGTGCCCATGTGATGTGTTAAAAACTCTAGTAGTGTCTGCTATGGCTTTAGCCAACTTGGATTACCAGGTAAAAGCTGTTTAAACGTTTGAAGCAGCTGCGTTTGAAAAGCAGCATCTTTTTGTTAACGTCTGTGAGGACATTATGCAATTTCCAAGTTTTTAGAAAATCAAAATCATTTCTAGAAAAATAAGTAGATGCGATCTGTGAAGGCTGAAAGCTCCTGGACAGAGTGTGTGCTGTAGTGCTGCTGCCCTTTTTAGAAATGCTGATTGATGTCTTTGACCATCTGTTCTCGAATTAACCTACTATCTGGTTTCAGTTCTGGAGTTATTTGGTGTTTCTAATCTTTTTGAATGACTTGATTTCTTTTTTCTCTAGTTGCAATTCATCATAGCACAGTGTATTTTTGACATAGTGGTTGACTTGATAGCAGTTTTCTTATGGTCAATGCTGATAATTGGATGACAGGTTAGTTTTTGGCTAATGCATAACGCTGATCTCACATAGTCAACAAATCTTTGTCAGCCTTTTATAGTTTGCATGCATCTGTTTCATAAATCACCACCCTTTCACTTCATTTTAATTCAATTCAAACTACTTAAATTAACCCCGAGGGACAATTTAATTTCCCAGCCTACCTATGAAAACAACATTAAACATGCAACACAGTGATCAGCAACATTCACACTTCAGCAGCAACAAATGAGTTGTTGGGGTGCATCATCACAAAAACATTTCCAAGTCAGGTCATTAAAATTAAATAAGTAGAAACGGGCTTTTAAGTCAGTGACTGCTGTCAGCATTCAGCAGCCTGATAGCAGATGCAACAAAAGAGTTTGGAGGGGCGCGGTGTATCTCCACCCTGACAGCATTTCCTCTGTTGTTCCCATGCCTCTGTCTGAATTTATCTACCTCCTACACCTGTTGCTCTCCTGTGTACGTGATGAGCCTACAGCAGAACTCCTGCTTTATGTCAGTAGACCAGGATACATTCTCTGCATCTTTACCAGCTGTAGTTCACCTGTCTTACTGTCTCTTTCTCTCTGTCCATCTGTTTCTTTCGCTCTGCTTTATTCTTCCTCTTGTATCTCTGCTCTAGAGGAAGAAGTGGAAAACTTTGATGTGTCCAGTCTCCAAGAAGAGGTCCTGAAAAACATTGAGGCTGACAGCTTTTGGTGTATGAGCAAACTGTTAGACGGTATCCAGGTGAGCATAAATGTTCCTTTGTGTATAAAAGGTAACAAACTGTACCAAAGATTGATTTGATTTTATGTAACCAGGAAAGCTATTAAAACAATTTTTAGCCATTTCAAGATGCATTCTTGGGACAGACAGCAAAAGTAGGTCCTGGTCCCGGGTTTCAAAGCGAAGACTATAACCATTTCACCTTTTTTCAAATGGATTACATTACATAAATAAGAGGGGAGCAGGTTAATTACTGAAAACCTGCCGCGAATACTTGATTCATTTGCTTATTTTTTTCTTGACAAGGAGATGGGTGAAGAAAACAAATTGGGGAAACTGTTTATGTCTTCTTTTCTCTCCTCTTGTCTTAAGTGGGGGGAATGATAAGCCTTACCTGGTGGTGGTGATCTGTAGCCTAAACAATATCAGTCCTAATCGAGCTCAGGTTCATGGGAACATCAGGAACCGTGTGGTAGGCCATATAACTTATCTATAGAGGATATTGGTATCAGAGCTTAATCAGACAGGTTTCTTCACTAAGCAGTTGTCCTTTAGATACATGAATCTGAGACAAACACAAGGTGCTGGAATTAAAGTGTATGATGCCTGTTTTATCCAGGCAAGTTCTCAACTTAGGTGTATTATCGGGATAAACCTATACAATGACAAATCAAAGATCACCTGTTTTAAGTTACGTTACTCATTTAGCTATTTCTGAATATTGCCCATCTGTTTCTTCTTCTTCTCAGGACAACTATACATTTGCCCAGCCGGGTATACAGAGGAAAGTTAAAGCCCTGGAAGAGCTGGTCAGCCGGATTGATGGTGAGTCATCTGCCAAGTAGCATCTGTTCTCTATCACAAAAATACATTTTTACACAAATAAGAGATGGGCACAGGTCATCGATTTTTTTTAATGGCTACTCATTATAGAGAAGCTTGACGAGGTTAAGGAGACAGACTTTGTTTTGTGTACGCATGAAGAAATGTTTGTATTAGGAATATGAAAACTACCAAAACAACAAAAACTCTTGAATACCAGGACACAAGTAAGCAGAGCAAAGTCTGCCCTGAGTTAGCAGGAAAGGATGCCATTAGAACAGACACTCAGGCAGCACTTGCAGCTGAATGACAGCGTACTGTGGAGGGGTGGCATTTGGAGACAGAAAGCAGAGGATTCTTGCCACCACTGTGCCACTGAAGGGAGTGTTTCCCACATTGAAACTGATTTTCAACAGGATGTGCACTTAACTTTATTCTAAAAGTGTGGAAGACGGGTTTAAAGTTTTGAGGAGCCCGGGTGTAGAAAAACTGTGGAAAAGTAAGAGGGAAAAAAGTGTATAGTGGTCATTTGTCTGTCAATAGGCCAACTTTTCCCAGTTTGGTGGATATGAGTCTGTTTGTTTATACATTTCAAATTCTTTGACTCATTTATACAACTTCTCAATTATCTCAATGTACCATTCCTTGCTTATCAAATTGAGTACTGATCTTTATTTTAAGATAAAAGTAAAAACTAAAAGCAGGCTAACAGGAAATACAAAAAGAGGGTTTCATATTGAAGGAACTCTAGTTCCATGTCTGTGGCAGAACGTATCCTCCCAGGTGTATATGACCATTCTCCAAACAACAGTATAAGTCAGAGGGAACCAGTAAACTCTACAAGTTGTACCCAAACTAAAACGCTTGGGTAGTGCAAACAAGTTAACAAAACACAAAAGAGAGTTATTCGTTTGGTTAGAGGGAGGAAAGAAGAGCAAATATGAATAAGTGGCTCAGAGCTGCTGCAAAACACTCACCGCCAGATGTGAAACATGTCTGATCAGTCAACTTTTGTCAATGAAAAATGTCATCCTAAATCCTCCCACCATCGGAGACATCTCAACAATTTTCTTTTTGCCGATCTGCTTGTTTTTTTAAATGTATTTATTCATTATTATTCTTTTTTTTTAATTTATGATGTCTTTGTGAACTAGAGATTATTCTTTTGTTTTTGACAGAGAGTCTACATCGCCACATGCAGCAGTATGAGGTAGAATACCTGCAGTTTGCCTTCCGCTGGATGAACAACCTTCTGATGAGGGAGCTGCCGCTGCGCTGCACAATTAGACTATGGGACACGTACCAGGTACAAATACACTTATATATTGCTTTTGCTGGAGATCTCAGATGGAGGAAAATCCTCTGATCATGACATCTGTGATTGTTTCAGAAGTGGTGTAATTCCCAGATCACAGCCAGCCTGGCACCATGATATAACACAAGGCAGTTGTTGTTGTTGAGTTGTTGAATCTGCAGAAAGTCTCTGTCTGCACACGTCCTCACAAAAGCTGATGAGAGATGTCACAGTGTCAGTGAGTTTCTTGAGAGTTGTAGCTGCAGCTTCAAAAACACTCCAATCAGTGCGATGGAAGCAGCTTTGGCTCTTCCGTCCGTTACCTCACAGTCCTCACAACAGACTTAGCAGATTTTAATTTCTGCCGTAATTCTAAATCCAGTCTCACTTTGAATCTTACTGTAAGTTTCAACAACACATCACAGAGTGTCTTGAATGAATGCTTTCTTATTTAGATCAACCTTTGTGCTAAACAAATGTTACCTTTTTTAGGCTGAACCCGAGGGCTTCTCCCATTTCCACCTTTATGTGTGTGCAGCCTTTCTGGTGAGGTGGAGGAAAGAAATTCTGGAGGAGAGAGATTTTCAGGTAACTTTCACATGACACAGCAGCTCCTATAAAACTTTTTTTTTTCGTTGTTTTACTTGGCTCATCTATTTTTGTGCAAGCTGGTAGCCGTTAGTGAGCTATTTTAAAAAATGACAAAGCAAAACAGATATTCCAAGGACAGTGTTAGATATTTGCTCTTTGGGTTACTTATTTATTGCTAGTTTGAATCACCCAACTGTTTTTATCCGGTCTGTCGTAGGAGTTTAATCATAGAAAGATGCAAATGTAAAATCAAAAGCCTGTAATTCACTTTTTGATTTTGTAAAAACGGTTAGAAAAGCTGTTTCTGAAGATTGTGAGAGTTCAGGATTCACCTGTTGTTGATTTGCTCTCTAGAAAAAAAACTGTTTAATCGGATGAAATGAAGCCTCGGCCTGGATAAGCTTTTTACGTCTCTGTCTTGGCAGTTGCGAATGAATTTCCGACATCATTAGAGACACTGATGCGTTTATTATTACAGTGTACTGTGAAGATGTGTTTCTCCATTTGACCGGTTTCTCACAAATATCCTGATGTTGTTATTACCATGATATTTTTTGTGATCATTGTGAGATTAGAGTCTGTTACTGTGGCAGTCCAACCGAAAACATGTTTTCTTTTTCAATAGGGATTAATGATCCTCCTGCAGAACCTTCCAACAATGCACTGGGGAAACGAGGAAGTGAGCGTGCTGCTAGCTGAAGCTTACAGGTTAAAGTTTGCCTTCGCCGATGCTCCCAACCATTACAAGAGATGATCATCGTAGCTCTCTACAGCTGCCTCCCCCTCTGTGTACTCCTCCTCTCCTGTCCGACTGTCATAGACTGTCACTTTAAGACACCAGACCTAGAAGGACCTCTTTTTTTAACCTCCTTTTGGCCCGTTCAGCTACTGAGAGATTAAAACCAGCCAATGACTATGGGAGGGGTGCGGTATAACAACACAGTATGACGATGTTGAGCCTCTTTTTGTTACTTTTCTTTGAGCACCTCTAAAATTTGCACTCCAACACTTCAGTACATAGCCCTTGTTTCATTGAAATCCACAAACCTTCAGTTAGCTCAGTGGTTCTCAATCCAGTCCTCGAGGCCCACTGTCCTGCATGTTTTGGATGTTTCCCTGCTCCAACACACCTGATTCAAATGATCAGCTCGTTATTAAACCAATACAGAGCTTGATAACGAGCTGATCATTTGAATCAGGTGTGTTGGAGAAACATCCAAAACATGCAGGACAGTGGGGGGCTCGAGGACTGGATTGAGAACCACTGAGTTAGCTCAAGCTGACATCTCAAATTATAACCCAAGGTTTAGATAAGGTCCATGAGCGGTTGTTCGTGCCAGGAGTTTTGTTTTAATTACAAAATGTGCTTCTCTGATAATTTCCACAGTCCTTTAGTTTGTCACGAAACCAAACATGACTTTCATTGTTTGAAAAGACGTAGAAAGCAAAAGGGCCGCTGTGTTGGATGGTTTACATATCAGAACCTACTTGCCTGCTTTTATTTATTTTTTTCTCCTGCATTTAGTTGAGGAAAAATAGACTTTTCACAGGAAGACAGAGAGCGAGACCTTTAGTGTGTGAAAGGCTTGTCTCTTTTACCACTAACCCCGCACACTAACTTTTATATTTTGTTCTTCATTCAGTGTTTCAGTTGAAGCTGCATTTGAGTTTGGTCACATTGGTATATCAGAAGTTAGGAACAAACTATTACGTTACAACCTCAGAACTACAGACTGCATAAAACAGGGTGGTAAAAGTTAGTAAATGAAATTAGCTTAAATTAAGGCCAGTTAAAGGTAATTAAAGGTAGTAAATGTAATTTTCATCACCCCTTAAATATATTATGACTTTTCCATTGATGCTTAATCTTTATTTTAAGTTCTTTTAAATAAAAATCTATTAAAGAAAACTACATATGAGCAGGACGGGAGGACCTGGGTGGGCATTGACAGCCAATTCGTGATCCTGACGACATTTGCTGCCCTGTACAGCATGTACTCTAATGATTCTGCAGCCCCCAATTTCAGTATTAGTATATTTATTCATTCTTTAACGATAAACAGTCAACAGGCTGCCTGTTCAACCTTGTAGATTCAACTGTGTACAGTCGTGCAGGGACTTCTGAGTCTAAGTTGCCCGCTGGACACAGTGTGCACTTCATACACACAGACTGTGACAGAGGAGGAGAGGGAGAAGTTTGTGACAGGAATGACAAGAAAAATGAAGTAGGTGTCAGAGGCAAGGAAAGCAAGTGACGGTAAACAGAATAAAAAAGACCAGAAGGTACATCTAAGCCTACATAGCCCTTGGGTTCACTGTGAATACCGTCAGAAATGAGGAAAGACTGGTGTGTGTTTTATAGTTAAAGACTCTGGCAGCGGACAGAATGAAACCTAACAAATTTAAACAGTACCTGGAGACCTAACACCCCAGTTATGTCATAAGCCGCTGGACTTTTTCATCATTGAGAACCACTGGACTATACAAAGAATCCACAGATCACCAGCAGGGGTTGTGCATCTATCACCCCTCCCAAAAAAGGCCGCTGCACAATGACGAGTTCGTAGTAAAAATATTTGAGAGGTAGTAAATGCAAATTTAGGATTACTGTATAAACCCTGGTGCAATGTATTGCCTTAGTCCAATTAAAAACTGGACATTCAAAAAGATAAACATATTAGTCTGACTAAAAAAAGCATTAAATTGTGTGTATCTGTGAGAAACGTCTCATAGTTGCACTAACGTACCTGGAAAATATGGTATGGGATTGATTTTCTCTTTGGTGTATCTGTATACACAGAAGAGAAGATCAGTTGGACTGAAACTAGCTGAAGCCTTTTGTGCTTCTCCCAGCACACCGGGCTTTGAGCTGGGAATTAAACAGCATGGATGCGTTGCTAGGAAACCAGATAGTAAACAAACCTCAGCCGTTGCAAAACGCAGAAAAGACAAAACAGTTTGTCCAGAGCTGTCTTATTGTTTCACGCACATTCCTTTAGCCTCTTATGAATGTGTTTTCACAACTGTTAATACTAAATACATCACCTGGGACATGACCTGATAGTAATGTGAAAGCTTTTTTCCACCAACAGGAGCAGAGATGCACATGCTTCTATCAATAATTAGATTTATGCTCAGTGCGTGTACACCGGAAGAAGGACAGTAGTCCTGTAAAACATCCAACCCAATCCAAGAAACTGCAGAACTGCACTTTAAGCTCTTCTGTATTGACTTCACATCTGAAGCCCAGAAGATGTCGCAGTCTCCCTTCCACTTGATTTTTCTTGATCTCTCCCTGTCCCTCAGTCTTTCTCTCCATTATTTATCCTTTGAGCTGACATTTCAAAGATTAGTTTCACTCCTTTAGTTTTATTTTTTTAGCTGTTTACATCACAAATATATTCAGTTGTGCCTGACTGGAGATTTTAGACGAGATCTTTATGTTTTTCATCTCGAATGAATTTGAAAGATTTTATAATTTTGCAAGCAATAGTGTGATGTGATTGAATTTACCCTAAAAAGACAGAAATGACCCTTTTTGGGGTGTGCTTGTAGCATCATGAACTATCTTTATAGTATGTCAGCATTTTACGGTTCTTACTTGCAAAATATCAGCTTGCTAAACCCTTCCTTTTAATTTTTATTGAAAGACTATTAGACTTACCATTTATAGTTAGCCGGTCAAGCTTTGAATCTCCCACATGTAGAATTAAAGGTATGGGCTGTGCGATGAGGGATAATCTGCATCTTAAATGTCTGAGCTATGGCGGCCTTTCTAAACCAAAAACCCCTAAAAGTTTTAGAAAGGGGCGGGGCTTTGAACATTAGCAGTACTGTGTTATGTTCAGTCATGTAGTGTGTGCAGTAACAGCTGAGGTTTTTTTATTTTTTCAGTGCCAAAGAGCACAATGAAAAATCAAGAGCACAGTCTGTGTTGTGGATAATGACGTTTTTCTTCCCAACTATGTTATCTTCAGAATTTCAATGTGTAAGGCTATCCTGCTGAATGCCTCAGAGTCAGGTCAGTGATGTCTTATGTACGTACACACTCCAGCAACACCAACTGACCAATCCAATTGTCAGACATCGGATCACTCCTGACGCACTGGTTTTTAGTTTTCAGCCAAAAATGTCTCTTGTTACAGAACAGGCGAAACAATGGTATAAGATTTTTTTTATAGACTTTACTCAAAGAGATTGTGATTTTATCATATTTTAAAAAACTAACAAATTAAAATGTTGGACATCAGTACCATACATGAGCCAAGTTTTAGATTGCAAGGTTAATTGTTTGTTGATGTAATCCCCAGATGGGATTACACGGTGCTCTGAAAGGCTTGCTCAAAAGACTTCAGCGAGTTTGTGTTTAAAGAGATTTGCTCAAATCGCCGGTCAGTGAATCTTTTTAAACACAACTTTGTTGTATGGCAACAAAGGAGGAGGTTTCCAGAATGTTGGGTTCTGGAATGCTGGGGTGGTTTAGAAGGGGTCTTTAGTATATTTCAAACTGCGCTCTATTTCCCCATCTGTTTGTGTGCTTGACTGATGGAGAACACTTTCTGAAATTGCAGTATCAGGTGAATGCGGAGCAGCTGTGAGACTTGCAGACATTCTTGCTCTGTGGGCAGGGGATCACACCAACAGTCTCCAAGCTTTGTGACCTTGCGGCTGGTTCGCCTCTCCCTCCCTCTCAATTTCAGAAATCGTTCCCTGAAGTTCCTCTTTGAAGGGACAGTGGCTGGCATGAAGCGCCTTAGACACTGAATGAGGGTTTTCAAACCGTGGTTTTCTGCCATGCTCAAAATTTGTTGAATTGTAAATCATGTAAAAGCTGCTAAGAAGCAACCAGGAGCTAAAAACAAAAGCATATTACCCCCTCTTTAAAGATGAGGCAAAAGCAGTCTGTCTCCATGAAGTGAATCATTATGAGACATCATTCAGAAATAATAACATCATTCAGCTATGAACAGATCCAACCTTTAGCCTATTTATCTCTTACTATGGCTGATCGCTTATTAGCCTCCATCACCACTGTGAAAAATAAAGGACATAATTTATCTACTGCTAATGAAACAAGGGACATTTGACAGTTACTAAAACAGTAACAAAGGGTACGGGGATTTGTCCCTTTATTGGCATATCCAAAGGTCGAGTTTTCATTAATTTCTCTATGTTGCCTAATTGTGCTCTCTTTTTTTTTTCTTCTTTTTTGTGGGTTGGGGCAAAGATGATAAATCAAGTCAAATCCGCTGCAGCAAGATTAAGAGGGTCTGTACTCTACATCCCTTTTTCTTTTTCTTTCTCCGCCGAACTTCACAGGACAAAATGTTTGTAAGACAACATTTCCCCCCATAGCTTTTGCCTCAAAAAAGGAGAGCCAATAATTCTGGAGTTTGGGAGTCATGAGGTCTAACTCGTGAATATGAAAATTTGTACAGAAAAAAATTTTGAATCAAAAAAACTGTAAATATAAAGTGTAAATAAATCTGATATATGACAAATTGCTTTGATTAAAGCGTGACATGTGTCTCTGCTTTCTCAGAGTGAAATTATTTTGGGCTGTTATGGTTGTGAAATAAATTGAGTGTATAGATATTTTTGCATTTTTAGTGAAGTAGTTTAAGGGAGACGGTATGTTTGTTGCAGAAGTATCTGGTGAAATCTCAGTTGAATTCAAGGTGTGCAGAGTTGAAGAACTAAAGACAAAACTGAAATTTATCTTTATAACTGTTTTAGGCTTCAATCTGCAGACTGGAGCAAGTAACTAAAGCTGCATGCTCGTACATCCATGAGTGTTAAATTTACCCCAGTAAAACACAAATTTTAACTCTAACCTAAATGGCCAATGCTGCAGTAATATACTTACCATCTGGAAACAATCTAGTTTAAACATAACCCTGAAAGTTATGATACTCAGTAAAACTAAAATTGAGGTCAACATGACCCAAACAATAACTCACAGGTGTGGTGAGTGTCCTCTGGTAATGACTCCTGATTGCAATCAGCTGGATGGACTGGGTTTTTCCAACCCCTGCCTTCTGATTGGATGAGAAGCTTTTTTCTATATATATACTCACAGTTTCTTTGCATTCTGCTTGATGTACTTTCCTCTGAAGAAGTCTCAAAAGGTGGCAAAATGTTAGGAGCTCTCCCTTTTCACTCTAAAGATGTTTAAAAAGTATATATTTTTTAAAATAATAATAATAATAATTATTATTTTTTTAATAATAATAATATTGTAGTTGTTATTGTTATTGTAATTATGTTATTATTGTTATTGCTGGGCATTGAAGCAAAGAGAAGAAGTTGCAGTGCACACTTAATCCACTTGGTGGTGCCACTGATCCAGTTTTGAGAGATTTAGCTTTGAAAGCAAAATCTTAACTGCTGCTCATGTGTTTGATCTACACTCACCGGCCACTTTATTAGGTACACCATGTTAGTAACGGGTTGGACCCCCTTTTGCCTTCAGAACTGCCTCAATTCTTCGTGGCATAGATTCAACAAGGTGCTGGAAGCATTCCTCAGAGAGCTTGGTCCATATTGACATGATGGCATCACACAGTTGCCGCAGATTTGTCGGCTGCACATCCATGATGCGAATCTCCCGTTCCACCACATCCCAAAGATGCTCTATTGGATTGAGATCTGGTGACTGTGGAGGCCATTTGAGTACAGTGAACTCATTGTCATGTTCAAGAAACCAGTCTGAGATGATTCCAGCTTTATGACATGGCGCATTATCCTGCTGAAAGTAGCCATCAGAAGTTGGGTACATTGTGGTCATAAAGGGATGGACATGGTCAGCAACAATACTCAGGTAGGCTGTGGCGTTGCAACGATGCTCAATTGGTACCAGGGGGCCCAAAGAGTGCCAAAAAAATATTCCCCACACCATGACACCACCACCACCAGCCTGAACCGTTGATACAAGGCAGGATGGATCCATGCTTTCATGTTGTTGACGCCAAATTCTGACCCTACCATCCGAATGTCGCAGCAGAAATCGAGACACATCAGACCAGGCAACGTTTTTCCAATGTTCTATTGTCCAATTTCGATGAGCTTGTGCAAATTGTAGCCTCAGTTTCCTGTTCTTAGCTGAAAGGAGTGGCACCCGGCGTGGTCTTCTGCTGCTGTAGCCCATCTGCCTCAAAGTTCGACGTACTGTGCGTTCAGAGATGCTCTTCTGCCTACCTTGGTTGTAACGGGTGGTTATTTGAGTCACTGTTGCCTTTCTATCAGCTCGAACCAGTCTGGCCATTCTCCTCTGACCTCTGGCATCAACAAGGCATTTCCGCCCACAGAACTGCCGCTCACTGGATATTTTTTCTTTTTCGGACCATTCTCTGTAAACCCTAGAGATGGTTGTGCGTAAAAATCCCAGTAGATCAGCAGTTTCTGAAATACTCAGACCAGCCCTTCTGGCACCAACAACCATGCCACGTTCAAATTAACTCAAATCACCTTTCTTCCCCATACTGATGCTCGGTTTGAACTGCAGGAGATTGTCTTGACCATGTCTACATGCCTAAATGCACTAAGTTGCCGCCATGTGATTGGCTGATTAGAAATTAAGTGTTAACGAGCAGTTGGACAGGTGTACCTAATAAAGTGGCCGGTGAGTGTATATCAGAACATTCCCTTTACAGTGTGTGTGTGTGTGTGTGTGTGTGTGTGTGTGTGTGTGTGTGTGTGTGTGTGTGTGTGTGTGTGTGTGTGTGTGTGTGTGAAGAAAACAGGAGATAATCAATTCAATGAAAGGTCTTTGTAATAATGGACCTATTATCCCTGCAGTTCTCCCACTTGTCGTTAATGACAACCGATTATTTAGCAGGTAGTTTTTAAATTCTATATTCATTCAACCTGTTGCCCTTTTTTCTCTTAACATATTAAATGTACATACATTTAGATAGTTAGATGGATAGATGGATGGATAGATGGATGGATGGATGGATGGACTGGCCTTTTCATGCATGCATAAAACATTATTGTCAGGGTCCTTTTGACAAAACTCCAAGTTAGTCTGATAATAGTATCAAATTTTTGAATACCTTGTTTTTCATGTCATCATGTAATACACAGTGTGTCTTATGTAGAAACCATAAAAAGATGGTACATGAGAAAATTGCCACCAAATCATAGGCAGTGGTAGCTCTCCCTTTTTTGTGTAGAGGCTGAATGAAGACCACAAAGAGCACATGATTAAACAGCTTTGAAAGGAACACTTAACGGCCAGTGTCCTAAAGAAAAAAACTGTAAATTAGGTGAAGTAATAGAGACGTACAATTATCCTGAATGGATTTAATATATGCAGCAGTGCTGTGATCTCTGATTGATCAGAGGTCAGTTTATAATCTAGTAATGTAACACGCTTTAACAGATCATCCTCAAACTGTGATTGTATAGTCTCTTTGAAATGCTGCTTGTTTTTTTTTATAGCATATGCAAGGTTACAGTTTGAACTCAGAGCAAAAAGGTGGCAGTCTGTCCAACAACCTGCTCTTACCAAAAAAAGAGATGAATATTAACTGTTTTTTTCCCCTTTCTTTTACAAATATATATTATAGATATATTTGGAGTGTCAGTAACTCAGGAGGTAGAGCAGTTGTCCAATAACTGGATGGCTGGCAGTTCGATTCCCCTCTACTCTTAGTCTGTCTGTTGTGTCCTTGGGTAAGACACTCAACCCACCTTGCTCCCTGTGTGTGTCCTCCACTGGTGTTTAATTGTGGGTGATGTTTGGTGGTGGTCAGAGCGGCTGTAGGTGCAATTTAGCTGCCATGTTTCTGTCAGTCTGCCCCAGGGCAGCTGTGACTACTAAAGTAGTTTACCACCACCAAGGTGTGACTGTGTGAGCGAATGAATGATTTATCCAATGTAAAGCATTTTAAGGGTCTCTGATAAAGTGCTATATGAAATCTGATGCGTTATTATTATATTACATTATATTATAATAAATAAAGAATGATTTATTATGACAACTTCTCACTTTTTTCTCAATCCAGACAGAATCAAAAATCTCAGCTGTCTTAATGAGGTCAAGAAGTCGGTGAAAACATCTCCTGTCATGTTTGCAGAATCAGCTTTCCATGAGACTTACCCTGGTAGCAGGCAGAGATGGTACACAGATTTTTGTTTGTAGTGCACGGGTCAGCTTTACTGCTCACTGCACTGTGCAAGCATACAGATTACCTGAAAGGAGGATCTGTTCAGTGCCAACAAACATTGAAATAACTACTTTTACATGCAACGAGCCTTTTACAGTCAATGATTACTGAGAAAGATAGAGAGGGAGAATGAAAAGTCTGCAATCATAAACTGATAAATCAAAGCCCTACAAAAGTCAGATGAATAACTTAATAATCTGCAGGACGGTTCAACCACTGACCCTTTCCTCTTGTTAAATTGATCATGTTTTTAACTAATACCTGACTCAAAAGCATGACAATTATCCTGAATTTTATCATAGACAGACATTTTTATCAGTCTTAGTAGAACATACATTGGTAAGTTTGAGTGAACTATCTGTATCTCTTATCTCATTGATACAAGTACAGACATCCACCCCCCCACCCCTCCACAGAGAAAAGTCACATAAAAAATTGTCACGATGTAAGAAAAAGAGAGAGATGTCAAGGAAACGATCAAACAGGACAGACACTTTGAGGATAAAAATAAAACCTAAGTATGTTAACCTTCAAAATCATCGTGATCAACATGTGGCCTTCAGTCTGCCTTTGATGCAGAAAATCATTTTATCTGAAACTTACTCAGTTGTCATGGCAACACTTCAAAAAGTTTATTTCCACGAGAATCCAGAAATGCACCACAGCAGCAAAGATGAGCATAATGGCCAACAGGTGTTTGAAATTGTGCGTGTGTGTTGAACCAGGATTTATGCAAACAGAGGACTCACTCAGGGAAAACACCTGTCAAGCATCGCAGCAGAGAGATAATCCACCTTTTCAGATTCCCTGTTTCTGAAGTTCATCCATCTCAAGTTTACTATGTGTGCGCGCATGCGTGTTTGTGATCTTTGATTGGTGCAGTTGTTAATTTTGATTAATGATGTTGAGGATCAGGTGTGGATAGAACATATCTGATCATGTCTTAATAAGTTCCTCAGTGTTTGTTGTCTCACCTGTCTGATCCACTTTGACTGAGTCAGAGTTTGTGTTTTAAATCTTTGAGGGTCGGCTGTCTCTTGTTTTTAGCCCTCCTGGTTTCCTCTCTCACATCTTTCATTTTCTTTTATGGTCCTTTTTTTTATTTAAATGCACTTAAATTCAAATCAGTAATGAATATCAATGACAGATAATAACATCTAAGTGTGTGCAGGCTCATTAATATTCACGACAGCTTCTCAGGACAACATTAAAGTTCGCCGAGCACCACTTCATTTTCTTCTGTGTGTGTGTGAGAGAGTGAGAGCGGTGATAAATAGAGTGTATGCGTGTTTTTTCCTTTAAATTGAATGAGAGCCTGTTCATGTAATCAGTGCAGATTTGTGAGGTCCTTTTTAACATGGAGCTCCCTCCTTTCACTCGGCTCGGTGTCATGATTGTTTTCCATCACACACTTGTCACTTTCACACCCACTGCCCACATTAAGGAAAAGCAAATTAACTTGTGCCCACCTAGGCGTTCATGATAGCCGTCTACAATGAGGTGCGGTCGGTTAATAAGGCGGTGTCTTACTCTCTTGAGGATGTGGAAAGTGATTGCTCTGTACACCAAGTGAATCCTGGTCTAAAACCTGAAACCCATGTGCAGTATGTCCCTGCCGTCTAAGGCTGTTTGGGATCATGATGTTCAGATTTCATGACGCTCTTCCAGCAAAATCCAGCAAACTTTGTTATGAACACCCATCCTGTCAAGGTGCATTAGTCGTCATTAGATCATATATCCGATACTGACAGTGCGTTCTGAGTATGATGATTTATAGGCTTACACTGCTGCTTGAGCTTTAATAATCATGTTGTTTTATTTGGAAAGTCACTGATTGTTTCTGCCGTTCGAAGTAAATGTTTCACTGGATTTAACATCATCTTTTTATTGACATAACTTTTCTGTATTTTAAGGGCAGAGAAGGGAAGCATGCCGACTGAACCCGGCTGTATTAATTCAGCATAGAAGCTGAAATCTGCTGTCTAAATAACACATCTGTCTGCTGAACCACAGGGAAGAGAGCAGGCACTGTGATTAGTTTGATTCATGTTACACACACACACACACACACACACGCACACACACACACACACACACACACACACACACACACACACACACACACACACACACACACACACACACAAAAGTATTTGAATAATCCTTGATCCAACTTCTCTGCACACTTCATCTCTCTCAGCACCCAGACTATGTAACACTTACATAGAAAGATGCTCTAATTTACTTTGTGCAGTTCACTGCAGATGGGGCCCAAGGTACTCATACTGCAGAAAACGTTATATTTGAACTACTTAAAGTAATTCTCAGTGGTCTTTAAATTGTAATTATGACGTTTACCCATGTCATTTTCAAAGGCTCTTCTTCTGCAGAGCTCCAGTAGATCATTAGCAATTTGCCTCTGGGTCGTGGGCAGAGACAGCACTTCTCTGCACACTCCTGTTCATGTAAGCTTGCAGCCTAACATTACCGGTGAAGTAGAAGTAGCAGGTAACATAAGAGCTATTCAGCTCTCCAACATGAATGTCTTGGGGGGCGTGATTAAAGTTAATATCATTATTAGCTTTCTTACGAGCATTGCAATCCGCTAATGCACACGCTTGTTCCTCAATCGTCCTCTCTGCGAGTGTGGCCTGCATAGCGGGGTTCCGGGGGCTGAGCTTGGATTTGCTACGTAGGAAATCTCACTGAATGTAAGCTGGCTGTTTTCTCATGATATGTCCTGTAGCATCAGAAAAATGCCATATGAACATGTAGACAACAAGAAAACATGATTTTCATTGGAGTGGTTCTTCAAATCTCGAGGATGCTGTGGACTCTAAACTCTACATTAAAGTTAATGTGAGGTTTAAAGGTGAATAAGATTGTTCTTCGTTGTGTTGGTGTGACTTTTCAAATATACTTTGAGTATCAGGGTAAAAGTGATTTTTATCTGCTCTTTATTGTGAAAAATGAGAAGATTTCAGACTCTTATAGGTAATGAGTTAAAATATAACAGCTGTGCAGTTAAGATGAACACCAAGCTGCTGAAATATCTTTTTGATAATTTAATTTTATTCTTTCTTATCCAATAAAAAAAGACACAGACTAACGACGGACTGAAAAAATGTGAGAAATCGTGTTCAAGAGGTAAAACTACAGAGCGATGTGGAGGTGTGGGAATTATTGTGTTATTCTGGGCTGACGGCCAAAGACAGGATTTTATTTTGTGACTTTAATGAAAGCAGAAGGAGCTGAAGCTTCCAGACGTCCATTAGTTGAAGGATTAGCTCACAGCTCTCTGCATGAG